GTTAGCCACTTTTTGATATCTTTCACAGAAAATGAGATATATAGGCTCAAAGTGGACGATCCGGGTGTCGTTCTATTAGAGGTTTTACGGTATATATATATATATATATATATATATATATATATATATATATATATGGAAACCAACAATGAATAAAAACATATATATATATATATATATATATATATAATCCAATTCGTTTTTATATGCGTTTTCCGAAATGAAGAGATCCAACACTACAATTTTAAACAAACCCTCGTTCTCCTCCTCCTTCCCTTTCTTCTGCCCCATTTCCTTCCTCTTTTGCTTTCTGTCCTCCCTTCTTTGTCATGCGGATGGGACAACTAAGTCATAATTCGATGCTCTTTCTGCCTCCTTAGGGGAACTCAATTTGCAAGTAGTGCAGCAGGAACTTTATTCATCCAGCAGTCTCTACTTGTTTTTATTCATTGTTGGTTTCCAGATGGATCTTCGAGAAAGTCGCACATCGCTCATTCGTCTCGACAATGTCCATGAATCCACACAATCGAAGACTTATCGCCACTGGAGGTGGTAGAGATAAAATGGTGAAAGTAGGTTTTTTTCCGTTTGTATTCAAAAAAAACATATTTTCAGATCTGGGAATGGACAGGACCAGAGCTAGTTCGTGTATCTGTTGTGGAGACTACTGCTCCTTTAGGTCGGCTAGCTTGGCGTCCAGATAAACCATATCATTTGGCTACTTGCGCCAGTGTCAACGAGACTTCCGTACACGTTTGGGACGTTAGAAGACCCTATCTTCCCTACGTCACCTATGATGAACATCGAGACGCTGTCACTGATGCATGTTGGCCTAGTAATGATTTCGATGTGTTTATGACTTGTGGAAAAGACGGACTTGTAGTTCTCCATAACATTGATTCTGGTCATGTGAGTGTTCTTTGGATTCTTAGTTGTTCAGAAATTACTGTTTTTCTCGAGAGAAAAAAAAACAAACAACGAATATTTAGGCGCCGATTTCATTTGCCTGCGATGTTGCCTTTGATATTACTCCCGATGGAACTATGGGATTGGCTGTTAATTCTGAAATCCACGCTAAGAATGAGGCAGAGATGGTATCAAGAAACGCAGCTGCCAACGGAAAGAAGTCCATCCATCAGATTCCGTATGAATCATTCCAGAAGCCCATCAAGAGTTTAATAGGATTCGGAGTTCCGGAAGCGCTAACACACAGTCTACCGCCGACAACATTTCATCAAATTGCTCAAAAATACATTATTGGAGGTGTTGAGATAACGCAGTTATGTGAGACGAATGCGAAGGTAGCTCGAAAGAATGGTCTAGAACACGTTGCACAGACATGGAGGCTTGTTGAAGCGCTCTGTGAGCAAGCGAAGATTCAAGAGGAGTATGATAGAAAGACGGCCGAAGAGAAAGCCAGAATCGTTAGAGCATGGGCAATGTAAGTGATTACTGTTAGCAAAATATGAATCTATATTTATTTTAGTCGAAAGAAGGAGCTCGCTGAAGAGGGCAGACGATGGCTGGCGAATTTGAACGATCACTATAGAGATGACGTCAAGAAGCAAGTCAGTCAACGACTAGAGAATACTCAACATGTCACCGCTTTCTTGAGATTCTCAAGTTCCTCTGAATCTGACGATGAATCAGATAGTGAGCAATTAGGCGACGGAGAGAACAATCAAAATGAAGACCAGGATAAAATGGCACCGAATTTTGATATTCTGAATAAGAATAAGAAGCGGAAAAAGAAGAAAGCAATAGCCACCGATTTCTATTTTGGAGCAGGAGAACAGAATTTCAAGGGTGGAAATCTGTAAGAATTTTTAGCCTTTTTTTCGCCCAAATTTTACTTCTGCAATTATAGAGAAACAATTCATGTCAACGAGTTCATGGGTCTTGGTCCAGAAGCTTACGAGTTGCGAGACGAAGAAAAGGAGCGGCGATTTTTCTGCAAAGCTAGAAAGCAACCAAGAAGTGAGAAGCGATGTTCAATTATAATTAGAAAGAAATAACGTTTTTCAGACGCTGAGGAATACGAACAACTTCAACGAGAACTTGAAGAGAACGAAGCAGATTTTCAAGAGTGGTCTCCAATGCTCGAAATCTATCGTCTCCTATTGTATCATGCTGAGCAGGGAGATATGCAAACGTGTGCAACGGTTTCCATGGTTTGCGGAAAACGACTTCTAGACGCCGTCGATCATTATACGATTAATGGATGGATCAAGTGTTATATGGGTTAGAAATTATTGTTGATTGATCGTGATCTATATTAAAATTAATTCCAGAGATGCTCTATAGCCTGGAGTTGTTTCTAGTGATGGCGAAGATTCGAAAGTACTGTACACTGGACAGTATCAGTTCTGTTTCTCGAGAGAACACAACAATCCAGTTAGCTCATGCCGATTGTGACGCTATGATTGTTAACGGACGGTGCACGAAGTGTGAAGCGCTAGCACAAGCAGATTGTACTCTTTGGTTTGTGAATCTACAGTAGTCCTTTTTCATCTCGTATTTCTCATTTTTTTCAGTCGTTTTTCAATTGTCGGAATGACATTCCAATGCCATGTTTGCGGTCATTGTATGCACGCAGATCATGCCTACGAATGGTTCAAAAAGGAGAACACTTGCGCTTTCGTTGGATGTCCCTGTACTTGCGGAAAAAATACATGGCCAGACATGGATCGGACGTTCATTGGGAATGATGAAATTATGAGGGATCATCGCAAGTTTTCGGATTATGACACGGATGATTCAGATGATGTTGACTCGGAGAAAGAGCCAGATACTAATAGTGAGTTTTTTATTTATTTCCGGAATCTTAAAATTGGAAATTCGCTTCAGGAGTAGATGCTTCTCGCCTCGATACAGATTCGGAAATCAGCGCAGAAGAAGACGTGGAATGGTCGCCTGGAGGTCATCGAATTAGGCGGAAGTACGATGAGTTTCCAAACGAAGGAATGCACTCAGAATGGTCTCAATATCTGGTTCGGCTGAAAAGAGCACGAAAGAAGGAATGTGATTCACTGATTCCTTTGGACAAGGAGAATCAACCTTCAATTAAAAAACCGACTTCAGAAGTTCCGAGAGATATATTGAAAGAAAGATATCAAGAAACACTTCGAATATTACTGAAAAGCGAAGATGCAAGGCAAGCCAAAAAGCGAAAAGAGATTCTGGGAGTCCAGGAAGGACAGCTCAAGAAGAAGAAGAAGTATAAAGAAGAAGAGCCTGATGAGTTTATGGAGCAAAAAGTTTGTGAATACCTGGACCCGTCGCTGAAAACAGACAACTGGCCGAAACGAGAGGAGCCGGAAGTGTGTTCGAAATGGGGATTAGCGAATATTCGGGAAGAGGACGAGGAGATGGATGACGAGAAAACTGTTTACGAAAAATCAGAGATTTACAATGAAAAAGAGGCAGAGGCTAACTGGGAAGACTATGAGAATTACGTGGACGAAGCATGTGAAGAATTCTGGGACGCCGAGAGTATCAGTGACGAAGATACCGGAAGTCTTACTGATGAAGAAGACGAGATTCTGAGTGATGAGCTTTCCGATGGTGAAGTAGTTTCCGAGAGTTTGAGCACCAGCGAAGAGGCATCTGATTCTCGTAATGCAGAGGTTCAGAAGGACAGAATCACGTTAACCAGAAACGACGCTTCGTATTCTGGTGGATTAGAGGAAGATCTGGAGTATTCCACAACATCAGACGTACATCAAGAACGATCTCCGTCGTTGCCATCATCGCTGGAAGAAGGAGGAATAGAAGATATGAAAGAAGACGACGAAGAGAATCTAGTGTTTTTTGACGACGGTGTTCTTTTTAATGATGCCGATCTCGATTGCGACGACTATATCGAGTCCCTCGGACCTATTGGTCTTCAGCCGTACCAAATGGAATTCTTTCGACAAAGGGCTAAAAACGAAAATGATCGAGTCACATCTCCAACGTTGACAGCTGCTGTGAAAAATGGTTTCGAGCGGTTGGCAAATCCCAAATGTTTTGAAAATAATGAAGAAAAAGAAGACGATTTGTTTTGTGAAAAGCCATCAGTAGTAGAAGAGACAACAACAACATCAGAAAAGGAAGAAGAATTCAGTGTTCCTAAGCCAATTTTGAGTTTTGGAGAAAAGGCACGAATGATTTTGAGCATGGTAAGTTTTAATATCCCGATTTTCCCTGTTTCATGATTCTTTGTTTCAGTCCAAACACGATTTGAAGAGGAAAAAAGCGAAAAAAAGAAAGAAGGAAATCATCATGATATATAGCAAAATGATTGGAGGATCTACATCCTCCGAAGAGTTATCACCTGATGAGTTTATGGTTTCATCTGACTCATCGGATTCATGCTTTTCTGGATCCACGAGATCTTCTGGGTCTTCTGAATCTGACCTATTCCATCCACAAGCAGCAATCAGCAAGGAGGAATCAGAAGACTGTTCATCAGATTCAACGTCACATAAAGAGTTGTCAGCAATGCCTGAAGAACGTCTTCTAACTCCATTGGCCACCGGAGACCTCTATTTGAAGACGGAAAGTGTACGTTTGTTGAATTTTAATCTATAATTTAACATGCATAATTTCAGCCATCCTCAAAAGTTGTCTACAAAATGAACAAGTGGAATAAGGTAAGCAGTCAAGTAACTCATCCAACTGAAAGTGCACATGGGCATGCCAACAATACCTACTTCGTTTGCGCACCTGCTGCGGCGAACAACTCTCCTGGACCATCTAGGAATTATATTCCTTCTATTCCACTCTACGATTCTCTCCCCCGTTCTTATACTTCCCGTTGTCCTACTTCGCCATCATCGTCATCTCTACAAACGGAGAGTGAAGAAGATCCATTAGAGGAAACATTGGAAACGCCTTCAGTGCAGAACACAGTACGAAATCAGTGTAAAGGCTCTGATGATTATCGAAATTTCTACAAAAATTCGTATGAATATCCACACAAGTATCCTCCTGAGATTGATGCGAATCAGCCAATTCAAATCGTCAACTTTCGTTTGAAAGATAATCCTCCCCTTATTCCAAAGGAGCTGCTTCACTTGTTCGAGAACCCTTCAACATCTGACAGCCCAATACCTGGAGGTGGAGCTTCAAATGCAGTCAACCCTCTTTTCGAATTGCGCTCATCTGCTATCAACGGGGCGACCCCAATTGAGGATCAGCAGCGAACTAAAACAAATGCAGCGAATACGCTTTTTGACGCTCGCACACCTTTGCCAACAAATGCTATCAATGGGAACCTACAGACATCCAGCGGCAAGCAAACCAATGCACCAAAATCTTTTTTCTCACATTGCTCACCGTTTTCAACTTATGTAGCTGATGATGAGAATACTTCAATGCCTGGCACATCCCAAGAAATGCCTAGCAGTCTTTTTATGATTAAAGATAAAACCCCAACTGCATATACTTCGGTGAGCAATTGTTCGGCTGGGCTATTCCAAACTATTCTGATAATACTGATAATATCATTTTTGCAGGTCCGTCCACCAACACCTGCCGGAGAGCTTGTAGAAGATAGTGACGAAGAAGAATTATTCTCCACGGACGACGAAGAAAACGCTGATGAATCTGAAACCAAGGAAGAGCTAAGCGATGAGGAAGCTTCCGATGAAGAACCATTCTTCCCATTTGTTGAGGACATTCCACGACCCGTCACTACAAAACATCCGTGGGAAACTGAAGAACAGTATCAGAGTCGAATGAGAAGTGAGCAAGAAGAAGATGTGGAGGAGAAGAAAGAACTAGATAATTTGGCAAGGGAAGAATCTGAACGGAAAGAACGCGAAGCAGAAGAAGAACGAAAAGCTCTCCTCACTAGGCATACATCTGCGATGAGAGCTCTGGAGAAAAGGAAGCGAAGAGCCAAGTTAAAAGTGTCATTTCCTCCAAAACCATATAGCTTACTATCCGCCAAACGTGGTAAATTCACAAGTGAAGAATTTGAAGCACGAACGAAGAAGGCAATCGAGGTAAGAATCTAGTTTCTACTGATTATCAATTTGGTTTATTTTTCAGAACTTGAAAATGGAAGATCCCTCGATCCCTGAAACTGATCAATCGGATTTTGAAAGATTCGTTAGAGAGAAGGAAGTCTGTCACGTATGCAAGCATGCGAAAAAAGACAGACGATTCGAAAGGGAGTACCTGGAATGGGTCAAATCGAGGTGATTTATCAGAAAGTAACGATCTTGAATCAACTGATATACTTCAGAAGTGACCAATTCATTTTCGTCAAATCGTTCGATGAACCGTGTGCAGCTTTTCAGTTGGCTTATCTGAGTGTATATCAAAACAGTCTTACAATTGCTAGGAAAACTGCGAAGTATCTAATTCAGTTCATAAAAATATTCTACTTTATTGAATGGAACGATATGCTCAAAAATAGAAACGAGTTCGTGTTGAAAGAAGTTTACGAACTATGGAAGAACTTTCAAGCCAAGAGACGAAAAGTATGCAGAGGCCACTTCAGGGACTTCAGATTCCGATTCTTCGCTTCATCGTAAGCTTTCGAATGTGTTCTGCTTTCCAAATCAGATTTTTCAGCATTGCTACAAAAATCAAGCAACAACTGCTGCGGGATGAGGCGCCACAGGTGAAACAAGCTCTACTGGATTACGATTGGGTGCACTTGAGATCGTGTATCAATGAGATGGACGATCCAGCAGGTGTGATGGACGAAGCTATGGATACACTAGTGGTGAACAATCCACATTGGTCTATTGAGGAAAAGAAAGCTGCAAATCGCTATTGGGATTTGTTTGGTAATATCCCTCTTCACATCGAAACATCGGAGACAGTAGTTGTTCCACCGTTATCGGAAGATCGCTTGGATATGGTGGATGACACGAACTACTTTACAAAGAAAATGTTGAGGAATGCGGCTAGAAATTCTCGAACCTATGATATAAAGCTGACATATACCAAGAGAAAAAAGCAAGAAGACTTGATTAGTGTCCAAAATAGAACTAGAAAAGTTCAAAATCGAGAATGGCAGATGCGTTTGGAGAAAATGGTTAACGAGTCTCGCTATGTGGATTTGTCTGAAAGCAGCTTTCGAGTAAATCCTCATGACAAGCTTCTGTACACAGCTGATCAAAATCAAGCATTCCCAATATGCCAATTCGACACTGGAACCCATTATGTGACTGTCCAACCAATGGTTTCCAAGAAAATGATTGAGATGAAGTCTCATTTGAGAAGAAAGTTCACATTCCGAAGGACGTATCATGTTGACAAACAAGCGAATCACATTGAGATTACTGTAAGATAAAGTTTCAGGTTCCAGAATTTACAACGATAATTTACAGACGGAGAAACTACGCCAGTTGCCAGCGTTCAAGAAGTTTGATTCGAAGCTTCAGAGAGCTCAGGAATACAAAGATAGTAAGAAATTAGTCGTTCGTACTTTCTTATTCAGAAATTTAATTTCAGTGCTTTCCCGAAACTTCAAAATATTCGACAAAACGATTGTTGAACATCGTCGGAAGCTGGAGACGATTGTTGAGGAGCAAACGGATATCCCACATACTCTTGGTGTGCTTCGCAAGACTAAAAAGCAGCGTGAAGAAGAAAGAAAAGAGGAAGAGAAGCGCGAAAAGGAAGAACAGGAAAGGAAGGAAGAAGGAAAAGTAAAGGAAGGAAAAGTCGAAGAAAACGGAAAAGAAGAAGAAAATAGTTCAAAAGAAGGCGGAACAGAAGAAGGAACAGTAGAGAAAATAGACGAAGTGAAAGAAAAAGTGGCAGAGAGAATTGAGAAAAGCGAGGAAGTCAAAAAGGAAGTGAATTTGGAGATTTGGAGAAAAATGAGAACGGAAAGTGTAGAGGAAGTGAAGGAAGATGTTGAACAGGATATAATTCAACAAGGTGGATTGGAAATGAAGAATGAAGTGAAACTGGAAGAAGAAGATCAGAACGGAATAAAGGAGGAGGTGAAGGAAGAATGTAAAGAGGAAGGCACAGAAGAAGTAAAAGACGAAGAAGACGAAGTGGAAGAAGCCCTCGAAGCTACCGAGGCTACCGTAGCCCAAGCAGCGGCTGAAGCAGAAGCAGAAGCAATTGCACTGGCAGAGGAGACCGCACGACTTTTAGAAGAACTGGAAAAGAATAAACCTGAACCACCAAGGCTAAAAGAACTGACGGGTATCCAAAAAGCGCTATGGGAAAAGTGCCAGAAAGATATACTCGCGGATTATTATGATGGTATTTATAAGGATAAACTCGGAGATTTTGAACGACACGAACAGAATAAGATGACCATTATGAAGAAACATCACAAGCCAGAATTGAGGAAAAAGATTTTCGTGGCTAGGAGAGTTCTTGAATTGGTGAGTATATAAACGATATAGAAAATCTAATTCAATTCTTAATTTAGGGAAGACTGATGGTTGAACATGAAGTTCGAAAGTGGATGGCGTATCAATACGATCTTCTATATACGAGAAAAACGGTTCTGAAGAAGTCACGCATCACTAGAAAGCTGTATGTTGAATTTCGATTATCTCCCAGAAATGTAATGTTGTTAATTCAGGTTGAAGAAGAATTTCTCAAAACGAGTGCCTTGCCCACCGCCAGCGTTCTGTGAGCAGTCACCTCTGGTTCCAAGAAAGAAGCAGAATCGTTCTCCTCCTGCGTTGCGTTACAATTCTTCTTCTGATGAAGACGATTATGATAAAGGTGACGAGAGACCAAAAAAAGAGAAGTCGAAAAATACATACTCAAAACAACCAAACTTGCTTGCTGTCGCTGGAAAGCTTCAAAAAATCTTCAAGGATCAACTGAATGCTGCTCCAAATTCTGATGACGAATGGGAGTATTCCGATGATTCGAGCATTGTCACGTGGTTCAATGATGATACCGACGATGTTCTGAATAGATTGATCAATAGAGATTATGTTGATGAACATATGGTTTTGAGAGAAAGAATGAAAGGTTCTCTTGGACGACCGTTGCACGTTGTGAAGCTCGAGAATCTGCCATCAGAGGAATCGTCAGATGAGGAAGTCGTGCATAGATTCGAGAAAAAATTGGAGGAAAGGAAATCGATAAAAAAGGGAAAACGAGTGAGATTCTTCGAAAAGCGACCTGATCCGAGAGATATTGGTAATGCGGATGGTAAAGCAAGGGATGCGTTGGCGAAAATGGAAGTTGAGAGAGATCGAGAGCTGATTGGAAAGAAATATGAAAGGAAGAAAGATATGGAACAAGTCCGAGGTTATTTCAAACAGTATGCTCTGGATCACAGCTACGCTCCAGAACCCTACTCCTTGAACGAGGACTTGAGCAGTGCCATTTCATTTATGCATCGCTGCGAGCTTCGTCGGGTCAGCAATCGATTGGAAAAGACAATGAAGGAAGACTATGAGAATAGATGTGAAGAAGATAACATGATTGTGGATATCATTCCTATTGATCATACAAGCCTTGAATGCAAAATGATCAACTTTTTGATGTTCCAACGCGAAAGAGAGAGCTGTTATCATTCGGAAAAACTATTCGATGAAACTCGCAAAATGTTATCGCCAATCCAGAAGTACGAACTTTTCTTTGGGAAGGAAGGAGCTTATAAATTGGCGCTAATTGGAAAGGAGGCTTTGGAGAATCATAATCTTCGATATGCGTTCACCTACATTGTCAGACGATTTGGAACAACGAATCTCAGTGTTCCCCATGAAAGCCTTCGATCTTTTTATAAGCTGTGGTGGTTGAATTCATTTCAAACTCTGGAACAGTTCATTTTGGCCAACGAGGAAAATGATTTTATCCTAGAGAATTCTATAGATGTTGTCAACTACTATAGGAGACATTCTATTCAACTTGCCAGAGAGACATACGACCAACTCGAGGTCACATACTTGCTCAATGAGGTAGTAGATCTTGTGACAGAATACGTCGACGACATTGACACACTTTTCCATGGAACGCCTTATATGGATTCGAAGAAATACTATGCAGGACTGGGAATTATCGACTGGTATCACGAAAAGTATGATGAGAAAAATACCAATTGCTCAAATAAGAAGGAAAAGAAGGAAAGAGTAAAAAAGAAGAAGCGGAACCTTCTTTCTAGTCTTTCAATCGAGTCGGTTTCTGAAAACGAGGAAGATGATCAATGCTCTCCAAGTACTGAACCAGTGGATTTACCAGTCGAATTCATAAAAATTTCGCCAGATGAGCAACCAAATTCATCTGATTCCGATCCCGAATACGCTCACTATTCTACCAGAAGAAACAGTGCTAAAGTTGGAAAAGCCAATAAGGAAATGATGTCTCACTATTCAGCTGTCTACGACAAATTGAAGGTTCTACAGGCAGAAAAGCAACAGAAGAAAGCCGAGGAAATTTGCAAGAAGAAGCTAGAAGAATGGGAACGAAAGGAAAGAGAAGGCAGATGGGCAGTGGACGATATGGAGAGGAAAATTCATGATTTTGTTGTTTTGGCAGCGGAAGAACACAAGGAAAAGAGTCGGACCAATGAAACATGGTGGGATGTTATCTCGCAAAAGCAGGAATTCAAAGACGAGCCTACCCATGTAATCTATGATAGAGTAGGATTGTCAGCTCACGATGTTCTGGAGAAGTGTGGGCTTCCAGTTGGTCTCGATAACCAAATGTTCAATATCGAGATGGAGGAATGCCAAGCAGAAGTGGAATCTCTAACGGAAGATGCTAGTGATATCGCGGACAGTATTGAAAAGGATTTCAAAGATGAAATATACGGATTGGCAGACAATTCAGGAATTGATGATGATGCTCAAAGTTATTCATCGATGAGACATGTTTTAAAACATGAGCTTTATTTCGTAAGTTTCATTTTAAATTGAAAAGTTAAATACCCAGTTCTCCTTTTTTCAGCAACGCGAACTAGAATCGGGAAGAAGAATTCCAACATGTGTTTTCCTCTTCACACCAGAACAGTTCTTCGAAGATAATTATGACACAAATCTCGAGTTCAACAAATGGAGACAAATAATCGAAGTCAGTGAATGCCCATTCTCATTCAATAAGCTCGTCATGAGAGAACGGTTGCTACTAAGATGCAGAGAGGAGTGTCAAGAAGAGTTGCTTGGGAAATACTTCCAACAAGAAGAACGAAATCGGGGAACGATTCTGGAGGTTTTCCAGAGATGCCTCATCATCGTTGTAGTGGATTCTGAACTGAAACCATTCGACTGTCGTGTGGTGTCTTCCGAAGACCTATCAAAGCCAGCACACAATCGTGTATCGTATTTGAGGAAACTGATGGTTGAAAAGTAAGTTATTCAATATAGTTTTATTTAGCACTGATAAGTTCTTGATTCCAGTTCCCAACACGAATTGTCTGCATGGATTGAGAAGTTCAAAATCGACATGGAGGTCTACGCACAATGTCCAGTGATTCCTGTACTAAACGAGGATCTCAAGTTCGCTCATACTTCCCAATTCACGAGCTTTTTCATTGAAGAACACACGAGAGAAGACTGGTTAATGATTCGAAGAGATGAAGGCGTTCGAGCTCTAGATGTATGTGGTCCACATAATGTGAAGCATCTATAATACGTTTTTCAGACTATGATTCGATTGCCACCACCACCAGCACACAAACTTAGCACCTACAAAATGATATTCAAGCCGATCTACGATTCTTGGTACCATGTCTGGAAGTTTGAGAATGATCAGGCTTGTGCAAGAACTCCGGTTGTTCGAAAACACGACCCTGTGAAAGAATACCTTCACAAAGCTAGAATGATTGTCAACTACGCCCATCAACACTATCGCATGAAGCGGTTTGATTCTCTTATGTCTAAAGATCCAACTGAATTCCAGCGTAAGTGGACTAATCTTGAATCAAATTGATTTGAATTTTTTAGTGGTGGACCGATCGGATGTTCCAAGTGCATCCCTATTCGATAGTCTCGATGCAGCTGTGAGCAAATTCTGTAACGAAGATTCTCGTATGTTTTTTTTCTCCATTTTTTCTTACAATTGGAATTTTCAGCGCACTTGGATCCGCGAAGTAGGCAAGTTGTGAAGGACACACTCATTCAACTGGCTACTGGAAAGATTCCATACTTCACAGCAAACTACTTTGGAGGTTATGACTACACTCGGAGCATCAAATCGTCACTACCAGATGAGGAGGAAGAGAACAAAGTGGATAAATTCCCACTATTGGCAAGTACAGAACTCATCCAACCGGATGTTGCAAACACTACGGAAGCGGAGTTGGAGAGCTGTGACGAGGAAATTCAATGGCTCAGAAGTTTGTACGAAGACACAGACTTCCAAAGGCGCCGTATCATGGCTAAGATGTTGTTCGAAATTGCTCAAAAGGCATTGTTCAAGTTGGCACCGAATCTGGCGGATTTCGAAAGAGGTCAACAACGATTTGAGCATTTGCTGACATTACATGGAAGGAACAGACCGTTACTTGACATGATGTTGACCAAAGTTCGAGGAACTTTCCATATGGTAAGAGCAGAATTTTTGATTTATGGTACATTTCAATCTGTTTTCAGAAACCATCAACGAACCGATTCCTGTACAATACGAAGCTAATCACGTTCGGAGAATTGGTCGATTCTAGAATCCACCCAAGAAACTGGAGTAAAGAAAAAGTCAGCTTGGAAGAGCACAGGAGACAAACACCGAAAGATCCGCAAATGATGATTGACTTCCTGAGAAACACCAAAACCGTTCGGCTGAGACGTGATTCTGATTCTGACTCGGATCAGGGTTCAGAGTGCTCGACAACTTCGCAAACCGAATATGAAAAACCTTTGAGATATAAGAAAAGCTTGAAACTTGAGAAAGCCTATTTGAGGACGACGAGAACGAAGAAGAGGAAGAGGAAGCGAGTATTTTTGACGAGAGCTATGCGAGACATGATTATAGCCAAACTTCGAGAGACTCGCATCAACATGGATATAGTTTTCGCTCGTGAGAAGCGGGCTCTTGGAGCGAAGAAATGGAAAATCAGGCGAACGATCAACAAATGTCTGCAGCGTATCGCGAAACAAGACTACCATAAGCTCAAGGCAAAGTTGCCGGCGAAGAAGCAAGAAGCACTGAATCACATCAGAGACTTGATTATTCGCTATTCGGATGTTGCTCACCGATCGTGGGGAACGCTGAAAATGCAGACACGAATCAGACGCATCCCACCGGTAGATAGAATGCAACCCAAACATTTTAATAGGATCGAAAAGGGACAGGTATGTTATTTGTTAAAGAATTTTGATTTCAATATCACTTTTTCCAGAAAATGTACAAACCCCCGAAACAATATGATCCAAACAATCCACTAACCAATGGACGAAAATGGTTCTAGATATATGTCACTTGTTCGTATATTAGTATTGTAATTAATTTTTGTTATTTTCCAATTCTGTTTATACATTTTCTAGCCATTTTTTGTTCACAACTGCCAACCATTTTTTAAGGGTATTTTTACATGTGATATTTTACCGAACAGTTGTCTTTTTTAATTGCTCAATGTGCTGAATCTACTTTGTAAATATAATGTAATTTTTTTCTATTTCTGGTGCTATAATTTTTTCAAAGACATGGTGATTTCTGATCCATTTTATTGTGAATAATTTTTTACAATCGTTTATTTTCAAACCGGTTTTTCAGATGATTCCCATCTTCACTAGACTTTTAATATACAGATGTTGGGTACGTAGTCGGGTATCTCCTCGAAATATAGCTATTGGACTAGGCCTTGGAACCGTATCAATATGTAGACTTCGTACGTTGAGATGTGAAGCCGAACAGCATGATCCGTGGCTTCTGGTTCCGCAGAAAGTAAGTTTTTACGGTTTATATGTTCTAAAAAACCATACTTTTATTTAGAAAATCGTTCCTGAAAAATCGACTGCAGTTGTAATCGTTAGTTTGCCAATCACTCTAGTATCGGTGACATATTCAACATTGAGAAAGATTCTGAGGTGGAAAACATATTAAAAAATGTTCCGATAAAATTAATATTTCAGATGCATCGGACTGTTTCTTCGATTCTCTCCACTTCTCATCACATATCCGCTGACAAAAATCGAAGCATTCGAGAACATTTGGTGGAAAATACTGCTTTGGTCTGTTCAGAATTCCGGACCAACATTTATCAAGTTGGGACAATGGGCGAGCACTCGGAGGGATATTTTTAGCAAGAAATTCTGTGATAGGGTCAGTAGTTATAAAATTAAATCACATTAAAAATATCATTTTCAGCTCTCCGTTTTGCACATTCAAACGAAAAACAAACGATTTTTCCGTGATAAAAATAAGATTATCAATGAAGTGTTCGGAAAAGGATTCATGAGACATCATGGAGATCGAGTGTTTCTAGAAATTGAACCATATTCTATTGGATCTGGATGTATTGCTCAAGTTTATCGAGGCGTCATTGATGTGGAAGAATTTCAAAAGGCCACAGGCCGGAAGATTCCAGAACTGAATGGAAGAGCAACACAGAGAATCGCTATCAAAGTAGCCGATAAGAATGTAGATCAACAAATCGAATTAGATTTATCCATTCTTCGAAGTGGAGCATGGATCATGCAACAGATTGTTCCCTCTCTTTGGTATTTAGATCCACAAGGAGCATTGGAACAGTTCGAGATGGTTCTCAGGAGACAAGTCGATTTGAGTAACGAGGCGAAAGCATTGAAAAAGTTTTCTGAAAATTTCCATTCGAAGGAAACTGGAATCCGATTTCCTATTGTTCTCGGTTACACGAAAAAAGCGATTGTGGAGACTTTCGAAGAAGGAATTTATATCAACAAGTTGGTAGCAGAAGAAGGTCAACCCGAGGTGAGGATTTCTGAAATTACAGCCTTTTAAAGATACCCCTAGTTTCAGCTAACGGCCAGACAATCAGTCGCAGTTCGTCGTCGAATCGCACTAATGGGGGCCAGAGCTCTACTCAAAATGATTTTCGTTGATAACTTCGTTCATGGAGATTTGCATCCTGGAAACATCCTGATCCGTTTCAATGACAGTGAGAACAATTTGAGAGGAGTTCACAAAGCACCGAAGGCAGATGGTATTCTGAAGAGAGGATTTGAATATTTCCGTTCACTGATCAACTGGCGATCGGCGCCAAAAATTCGATTTACCGACTCGCCGGACCTTGAAGATGAACCAACTCTCGTTCTTCTGGATACAGGAATCGCCATATCCGAGACAGAGAAAAATCTTCATAATCTGAAGTCTCTCTTCCGAAGTGTAGTCGAAAAACGTGGATACGAAGTTGGCAAACTTCTTCTGACACAATCCCCGTTTCAACAATGCAAAGATCCAGAACGATTCTGTCGACAAGTGGAGAAGCTAGTGTTGAAGGCGAGAAGTGAAAAGAGTCTGAGAACGGTATGTAGTTCTATTTTCTTCAATACAATTCCCCTCTGATTTCCAGCTGAACATCTCTGCACTCCTCTCCGAAATGTTCACAATCGTCGCGGAGCATAAAGTGGAACTCGACTCGGCGTTCACCACAGTGATTCTCTCAGTGATGGTTCTGGAAGGATTCGGAAGGTCACTTGACCCGGATCTCGATTTGTTCCAGTGTGCTAGACCCTATCTTCTGAACGTGTTTGTATAGAATAATTAGACTCCATTACGAAGTTGTACAGTAGAAAAGAGCTTTAATTCCAGAAAGGTTTTAGTTGTTATTATTGTTAGTTTTTTTTTCGTTTTGCATTTGATTCCTAATAAGAAATACTGTTTTTATGAATCTGATTTGAAATGCACACTGGTTTCTTCTATCCAGCCGCCTTTCTATCTCTATTCTTTTTTGCTGTGAATTTCTTCATATTTTCAAATTTTCTAGATGCTTGCTGTATGGTTGCATGTGTTGTTGTGTCGCGTTGGTATGGTTTTCCATAATAATGACATCTATCTAGTTTCGAATTCAGATGGCCTATCAAGTGCCACCTCTTCGTCATGAAGGGAGCCCACGTAGCAACAAGGAGCCAATGTCATGGCTAGAAGAGTACCTGGAAGGAAAGGATGAAATCCTTTTGTACATTACAGCTGCTCTAGGAGTGATAATGCCGGGACTTGTCTATCTACTATATCACTATTGTCATTCCTACTATGAGAAATACGCAAAAGTAAACATTTTGGGACTCTGAATATATGTAGATATAATTTTTTGCTTCAGAAGAAAGAAGCACAACAATTGGCTGAAGAGCTCGCACAGTCAGAAGCCGTCGTCATAGCTCTTGGAAAAGAGGATGGAACTGCGTCTCCGTGGGCAACCGTTATCCACGAAAAACTCAGCGAAGAAATGGTTCGGCAGCCGAAGCTTTGGTGGTCCGATTCTCTCAACGTCAAGGATTTGATGGAATTCAAAGGATTCTGTATATTCATCGCCGAGACTACGGCTGGTGGACAGCCAATCCCCTCGTCTGAATGGTTTTTGGAGTGGCTGGAAGACTTGGCGGCCGATTCGAAGCTTCGAAAAAAGGCGAATTTCGAGAAGATTCGATTCTCGATTATTGGATTTGGTAGCAGTGATGACGGACCAGCTGCATTTAATAAAGTTGCTCGCACACTTCTCAAGCGTTTGAAAATTCTGGGATCAAAACAAATCACCGAAGTGGAACTTTTCAACACAGCTGATACAGGTTTGTGAGCAATATGAATACTCCAAAGATAATTTTGAATTTTTTTCAGGTGATAAAATTATGGAAAGATTCGTGGAATTCTCGTTTGAATTGCTTTGTCAAATGGATAAAAATCTTCCGGGAAGAAGTGGAGATACCGATTCAGAAGGGCCAGCTGCTTCTGGATCTGAGAGTGATTCGAACGATGAAGAGGCAGAGGAGGACAAGAAAACTAAATAAAATTGTTAAGCTTCTAGAATCTGTCATTATTTATTTTATGTATGTAAAACAGCTCGTAATGTGTTTCCTTTTTCCTTGTATATTTTTCTCTATTCTTATAAATGCATTTGATATCTTTATCAAAATTTCTCTGTATTTCGCATTCCATTCTTTTCGTTTTTTTATATTAGATGTAACTTTTTTCTTCTGCATTTGAATAAACTTATTGAGCATTTTCATTAAATCGAACGAGTTCTCGTTCAAAACGGACAAAAATAACGGAAATCTGAAAAATTAGAATTTCCAACTACAGTATCTTTTTAAAGGCGCATGGTCACTAACTACAAGCTGGGTCCCGAAAGGAACTGTATTTTCTTTTCCGAAAAAAAAACATTTTCTCAAAATTCTCTTTTTTGCAAATTTAATGTTAAAAGTTAATAAAATTGAAAACGCAGAAAGACGAATCATATTACAATTTTCAGAGTATGTTTTTTCTCTCCTTTTTTGTTTGCATAGTGATTTCTCCTCTCTGTCTCCCTCTCTCCTCCTCTCTCGCCCCTCTTATTCATTCTCTTTCAAACTCCCAAATGAAGCCGTGTCATCTTGACGAGGGTACTTCGGGAAGACACGAAGAAACGGGAAGAACACAAATGCGCTCTGTTGCTTTCTTCCAGCACGAGCACGGTGAGTTTTTCACTACTGCTGCTTCAACTTTGGAATTTTTTCTCGAATTCTAGTCCATAACTTTTTTTTCTGTTCCATAAATTTTTAGTAAATTTTATGAAGAATATATAGTAAAAAAATGAATCAGATTTTTTTGTCTGTTGTACTTTAAAACGTCGCAGACTGTTTTCCTTCGGTAGTGTAAAACTCACCGTGCACGAGATCTCGTTTATCTTCAGCTTTATTTTTTGTGCTTCTCCGAGCCAAAGAATCAACAGAAACTTTGCACCTGGTGTGCACTAAGTAGACTCCCGAAAAATCGATATTTCTGTCTTCGCTCCTGTTGTTTTTCTGAACCCGATCGATTCTCATATCCTTCTCTCTTTTCATTTTTCGTCGCAGCAGCCGTTCATTCTCTTTCCTCTCTGTTTACATCCGAAAAAATTTAATATCTTTGGCTTTCAGTAGAAAAATGGACGAGGATGATTTGGAATCGGCGACTCCTGCCGAATCGCAGAAGCTTCTGCAAAAAGGCAATCGAAATTCGTTCGACGAGGTGAGTGTTTTGCGTGAAATAGAAAACCTAGAAAAGACAGAAGCAGATGACTCATTTGAGGAGTATTTCAGACGGATATGGTTATGGTATTGGACGATGATCAGTTGATAATGGAGAACCGAAATAGCAGCGATTTACAGAGCCCATTACGAAGTGTCACTGTATGTTTTAAACTAAATTTGCATATTATTGATTTCGACTGCGGGCATCATAGTTGACCCATTTCCTTACCGATGAACTCAGAATTAAGCAAAAGTGCATCATATGCTTTTCAAACTCAAAAACAACATGTTCAGGACGTGCTCCGGGAAGCCGAAAACATTATCACCGACGGACCGCTCCAACAGGCAACAACACTTGAGAATCAAAACGTGATTGTTGATCAAGTAGATGTCGAATTGTGAGTTAATTTTCTTCTGTTTTTATCATTTATCACTTATCACTATTGCAGCCCAAACACCCAACCAGCTGACGGTCAGCGCTTCGAGATTATCGTTCGTCATAGTAAAGTCGTTGAACAACCCGCGAATCAGCAAAGAGACGAATCGATGTATGCCACTAGACAAAATAGGCTTGCCACCGTGCTCGAGGGTTCGTTCGCTTTTTTCGCTTTGTGAGAAGACGGCACCTAACTTCCTCTTTTTGAATTAATCAACTTGATGGGAACTGACAGGAATGCACTCGCCCAGTTATTTATTGTCTTCCGAGTAGGAAGAGAGGGAGTATTCGTTCCACTTTCTTTTCATTTTTTTCCTCTTCTTCAATGACTCCAACTTTAGGCATTGAAATCGAAGGTGGAGATGGTCCTTCAACTTCGGCTTCTACTAGTGGTGTATCCACTTTCAAAAAAGGACATCGTCGCGCATGGAGCATGCCAAATGCAAAAGGAGAGAAAATGACTGTCGCTGTCATCCATGATAATCATGAAGAAGGAGGAAACCAATATCGACGACGAATTGTCAAGTACAAATTACACCCACAGCGACGAACAGATGAACCAGGAGTACCACAAAAGCAATTGAGATTTGTCACTGCTGGTCATGATGCTGAAATTCATCTGGAGCATTCGGATGACGATGATGAGTTAGAAGTAGAGATCAATGAAGAAGAAGTAATCATTCCCAGTGAAACTGGAGAAGGACCAAGGGCTGTTATCAAAAGGGTTAATTTTAGATATTCATTTAAAAAGAAAAATCAATATTTTTCAGTTCTGGGAAGCTCGTTGGAAAGCAACAAACTTTGAAACACTCCCGGAATGGCTTCAAGATAACGAGTATCTTCGTACCGGACATCGGCCTCCACTTCCTTCATTCAGCAGCTGTTTCAAAAGTATCTTTGCTCTTCATACGGAAACTGGAAATATCTGGACACACATGTACGGATGTGTTGCGTTCTTCGGAATTGGACTATGGTTTTTGACAAGGCCTCATGATCAGATGCAATGGATCGAGAAGTTGATATATTCTGCATTTTTCCTCGGAGCTGTGATATGTCTTGGAATGTCATTCCTTTTCCATACTGTCGCTTGCCACTCGATCGAAATGAGTAAACTGTTCAGTAAACTCGATTACACTGGAATCTCCTTATTGATTGTCGGATCATTCGTTCCATGGATCTACTTTGCATTCTACTGTCGACCGCAACCTATGATCATCTACAATGCGATGATTATTATTCTTGGAATCGCCGCCATGGTTGTCTCATTATGGGATAAATTCGCGGAACCCAAATTTCGACCAGTTAGAGCTGCAGTGTTCATAGCAATGGGTCTCTCGGCTGTAGTTCCTGCATTCCACTTGTTGATAGTTGATGGTGTCGATTATATGATTGAAGAATCACAAGTTCATTTGATGCTCATAATGGGTGCAATGTATATAGGTGGAGCAACTCTCTACGCTACAAGAGTTCCCGAGCGATGTTTTCCCGGAAAATGTGACATATGGGTTAGTGAAACATTTAATTTTATCAGTTTTTATTCAAAATCGAAAATTTCAGTTCCAATCACATCAATTGTTCCACACCTTTGTCGTGCTTGCTGCATTCGTTCATTACCATGCGATTTCACAAATGGGAATGCATAAACTGATGAAAGGATCGTGTTCGGAACAACTGAAAACTCGTTACGGGAGCGAGTTGAATCCATCGTTCCTGGGAACTTTGCTGGGACTCGATGAGGCAGTCGGTGTGAGAGACTGGACACCAGCAGATATTGGCCTCTGAAAATAGATAGATTCATATAAATACATCACTGTATAACTGCGTATATTTCTGCTTTTTCCTACCGTCATACTTTTATTCTTTCTTCCTCTTTTCTTCTAATGCTCATTCCCCGTTTCCTAATCCCTGGTATACTTTTCTCTCCACATTCTCACCATCCCATTGTGATATTTCCTTGTTTATAACTCCTCTCTTCCTTTTTCTGATTCCATTCGTGTTCTTCTTTTTCTTCGTTCCGCCCCGTTTTCTTCGTTCCAAATGTGTTTTCTCTCACATTCTTCTTCTTTTTCCCCTTTCTCAACAGCCATTTTTGTTTGCTCCAGCTTTCAATTTTTTTGTCTATTTCGAAGGTCTTCTGTGCAACTGAATTTCTCATTTTTGAGCTTTTTAATCTTTAGTTTATTCTTCCCCATTGTATTCGTCTATATTATATTTCCATTATTTTAGGTCATTCGATTGTACTTGTGAGTAAATTTAGGTTTTTTAAAATGATCCTTGAGAATAATAAATGTTTTTTGTTTCTAGTCAGCCCGCAATCATTTTGCAGCTCAGGGTAATTGCGCCATTCCAAAGAATACCGTAGATTCCTAATTATTTCCGCTGCTGAAGTGTCGGGAGAAGATCCTACTATTTACTACTGCTCATGTGAATTATTCATCAGACACAAGTGATCACACTCTCTAGGTCACCATATTAATCTCTGAATTGTTTATTTTTGTCCATTTCACTCTCAAAAAAGTTATGCCGTTGAAAATTGTCACGCGCACTCTCATCCCCGTTCTCTACACTTCTCTATGTGTGTCTGAACCCTCTGCGCCCGATTTGATCTCTCGCAAATTTCACTGGTTGCTCAATTTTTCGCTTGCGGTCATCGCCCGTAGTCTCTTCCTTCTTGTGTCGTCGTTCTTCGTTTTATTTTTTTTCTTGTTTTTCTATGATGATAAAAACAAAAAATTCGATTTATTGGCTTCAACTTGCCTCCCCTCCTCCAACTCCTCTTTGCCTCGTCCTCTGCAATTTCTCTTATTTTTTTGGCGTCCTCAACAAGTTCCTCGTTTCTTTGTGTTGGTCGAGAAATATTCAATAGTTTCGAATGACTTTCTCCTTCCAGAATAAGAAGACCTTATTATTCTTGTTTGTTTTCTAAACCACAACATAGAATCTGCTCGTGAGAGCTGGACTGTCATAGAATATCCTTATCATTAGAAAAATAGATTTCTTTTTTCATTCGTTTCTTATTTTCGCTATCCTATCGAGACCAATACAAATAATTACGCAATGCGCCTTTAAGATTACTGTAGCCCTTGTGGG